AACTCTTTTGAAAGACAACACAAAATAAAATGTAGGAAAAGTTAAAAATTATTTTTTCTGTTTTCTTTCTCTTGTTATATTCCTTACACAGAAAATGTATTCTTGGTATCCTTACGAAACTCTACTACATGGATTTGTGTGTATATGTTATTTATCTTTAAATGCAATTAAACAAAATATGTAACAAAAACATTACCAGTGAACTCACATTGATTCAACAAATACAATTTTGCTGACTGTAGTACTCAATCCAGGGTCTAAGGGATGTGTGTTGCGGCGGACAGGCCAAAAGCTTGCGAAGGGCAATGAGCAAAAATAAATAAATCATTTAAATGAAAAAAAAATACCCAAGCACATACGGATGTTGGGGAAGAGGGTGGTGGGGTGGATGGAAACCCACAAGGCTCATTAGAAATACATAGAAGCAACCACAACAACAGGAAGCATATATTCTAGCGAAAATTTTGGAAGCAGTAAGCCGAGCCATTTTGGAAATTAATTGAAAATTGAATACGATTGCAAATAAATGTATATGAAAGGTTTGAGTAATAAATCGGGTAGTTAACTTCGGTCTGTCTGACCGAAAACTATATTTTATATTTTTATATTTTTATTTAATGCAATGTAGTGTTCTATCAGATTGATTCACAAACTCAGGTTACGTAAAAAGCTAGAACCTTAATTGGACTTATGAAAATTATATTCCCCAACTTAAATTTAGTTTTTACTCAAATACTTATAAGGTTTGGAAACTTTTAAAGCTCGATTTACTATTTTCAGAAAGAGACTTCTTTAGAAAAATACTTTGGTTTTGGCCACTTTTGTTTAGATATTTTTAATAATGTATTCTTAGTCCGCTATTCATTCTTTATTCATCGCTAAGTATAATGATTAGAGTTAACTGAATTCTAGTTGATTTCCTTCACACATTCCTCCTTTCATTTTCTCACTTTATTGGACTACTTAAACGAAAAACGACTCACTCTTGCCGGGAAATATCGCGATTGTGGGACATTTTGGCAAGGCGTACGCGCTGCTGCCACGCCCCCAACCAAACTTAAGGCGTTGACCAGCGGTTTCATCGCCGTCAACATCATCATCATCAGTGGCCGCAGCCTCATCTGGAGCAACTGAGCCAGCTCTATAATGATCGTAATGATCAGGTGCTGGCCATTTCCATTTTGTTCGGCCAAGTGCGAGGCGGCGTCATAATTACACGTTCCGCACTTTTCGGTGCACAGGAAAAAATATTATTATACTATATTATGGATTAAATTGTGAACTCTTTCTTTTTAGACTAGTTTTCAAAAGTACTACCTTAAAGATTGTTCCGAAACCGTTGGTATCTCTCTCTTAATAAGAATAACTTTATATTTTTGGTTTTCTGATCAAAATAATAAATAACTTAAGGTCTTGAAAAAAATATTGATTTTGTTTATCTAGGGAATAATTTTAAATGTCTTATATTAATATCGATTCTTTTCACTTACTTTTGCGCTTTCATTTCAAACAAGGGAATTTATTGAGCTATTAAAATAACAGAATAATGATTAAAGGCAGGCATTTCTCTGAGTGTGAGTGACTTGAACCTGGTCCAGAGCTGGGGCTGCGGTTCACTTTTCTGGCTGAGAGCTCCGGGCAGAGTGAAATCGACCGAAAGTTTTCCTCAATTGGGAAAAGCAAAGCATATCTCGCTGCGGTTTCCCAGCCAAGGAACCAAATAAAATTTAAATTCCATTTAGGCCAGCTCGGAATTAGCGAAATGGACCCCAATCATGAAAGGAAAACAAAGTCCGCTGCAGGTCAAAAAAGGAGTCGTAAAGGGACACACACATGTGCGGGCTGGCATAAATATTTACAAACAATGACGACGGAAGGCCAAAAGTGGCGGCAGAAACAAATCCGTTATAAATAAAACATAACGAACAGATTTCCAGCTCCGAATCCACTTGAAACGCAACTCAAACTGGAATTCAGACCTGGGACTCCAGAGGCTCGTGGAAACGAAGAAATAGGAGCCGAAAAAGACGACGAAAAAGATGTCAAAAACAATAAATCAAACCGGCAGCAGCAGACCAGAGGAAGTGCACACACAGAAATTAATGGTAATTTTATTATTTACCTTTCAAAACCACTCATATTTGCCACTAATTTGGCCTTTTCACTGCCACAAAATACCATAAATCATGCAATCATCAAAGATAAGCACTCTACGTAAACAATGTCCTTACTAAATTAAATTATCTAGTTCGCAAACAAAGTTTTGGCGACTATCAGGCTGCGCTATTCGTATTTTAATTAGTTTTTAAAAACAACCATTGTTATAAAAAACTATTTGTTTCAAATAAAGATATGTCAGTCCCATTTTGACAAACTTGGAAAGATACATCCAGAGAACTAAATTTAAGAAATAATAATCTAAAAGATGAGACTAGTCCAAGTATTAAAAAAAAGGGATGAGGCTATTAACGGAGTGTATTTAAACAAATATTAAACAATCTTTCACATTTCCTAAGACTTAATTAGGAGTTAAAGGACCTATTATATTTCTATCAGAATTAATGTTAAAATTAAATACAATGTTGAACAACCTCAATACTAATCTTCCTAATTTTGGAAATATAAAATATAGTATAAGCAGTGTTAATCTATGAAAATAAATGGTGGTCTAAGGCCTACTCGTTATTTCCCAAATGTTCGAAGGCACAACCTTAATTTGCTCAGTGTTTTTGGGGACGGGGGTGTCGGGAAAAGGGTGAATCCCCAGACCCCTCGAACGGAAGCCCTGTTCCCAGAGACCGGCGAAGATCTCTCCCGGCACGTTCCCTTTCGGCGGGTTGTTTTTAGGGCCTTCTTTATAAATCCACGGTTGAGGCATGCCACTGGGCAAGCTTCGAGCATTAAAGATGGGCTCCCAAAACACTGTTGCGCAGGCGTCGCAGTGTCTTCCCCACTTCTGACTCTCTGCCTGCGATTAGCATTTGTGAATGAGTGGAATTCCGAGGCGGAATCATGACAGCGGAAGTTTTGGGAACTCTGCCTTTGTTGTGAAGAAGGTGCGACCTGAAATCGGACAAGGTTCGTTTATTTTCTGACAGATTCCATGTGCAAAATTGCTTTTCAAGGGGAAAGCATCTAAATACAGGCCCAAAAGAGAATTAATTAGCTAGCGATAAGCTGACATTATTTAAAGTATCAACATTTGACCAGTTATGCATGATAAGCAACTAAAGGTTTCGGAAATTGTCTATTTCAATTTAGAATTTTATAATTAGTGTCAAAAACTCTTATAAACAATATATAATATATATTCATCAATTTAATATTTTATTTATCTTTTGTTTATAGAATTGTGAATATGTATTGAGATATTATACAACAAGATAAAAAGAATTATGTATAAAAAAGGAAACTTGGCTTCAAAACTGGTTTAAGACTCAAAATTGAACTATGATTGGGACAAAAGTTTGATTCTTTTAGAATTAGAAGTATAAAACAATTAACTTATAAGTAAAATTAGTGTATAAATTTTATTTTGCTTTTCAATAGCTCGAAGATTAAGAGTTCATAGATCTCTTTTTTTGACATATTTATGGAGTCCCTTATCAACATCGTTCCTACACTTCGAACATCGATGGCAACATGAGTTGCTCATAGAAGAGAGCCAGCAACATATGTTGCTGGGAGTGCCAATGCTAAAACATCCGGCAACATTAGCTCTGGATTTGATATGTGAATTTTAATTCTGAAGTCAAAAAAATTAAATGTTAAACATATAATTATTATAATTCCATAGTTTGGCATGCCGAATTATATTTTTTAATTGCAGATAAAGTTAAAAGACATTACAAAATGTATTGTAAACTAGAGATTTGTTTCGTTAGCTTCATTCTTGAAACAGGTAATTTTAATTTAACTTTAAATCAAACAAATACTTAAATAAATATGTAAGCAACCAAATAAATGGACCCAGTAACTGAAACTATACAAAAATCTGTAAAAATATATAGTCATTTTTTGTAAAATATATTTGATATAGGTCAATAGCAATTTATTATAAAATAAAACATATTAGAACAAGAAGAGTGTCAAAATATTCTAAGAAGGTAAAGTAATTTAATAAATTGTATAGCCCCTGTTGCACATACAAATTTTTATTTTTCCCTGTGTAGGTCTGATCTTATTTAGTACAGTATTTATTTTCAAATATTTTTTTCCGGTAAGCCTGATATATTTTTAAGCACCAAAAGTGAATTAACGCGGACAGATGCAGCAAATGTTGCAAGCGAAACAAATGTTGCCAAGCAGCATCCGCATCCGCACAGAATCAAAATCGCGCTCTCTCGGCGTTTTGGTGTTTTGCTTGCGAGCAACAACAGTTTCGACCGAGCGTTTGCCAGGTGAACAACGTAGAGCGGCGCAAGCGAGCGATACCGAAGCAAATTCGATTTCGATTTCGAGATTGCGTTTGATCCCGAAGCGGTACGAAATTCAGCCGAAGTGTGCGTCGGTTCTTTTTTTTTCGAGTGGTAGTGCGAGTGGGAGGAGTGGGACGACAGCCTCCGCCGACAAGGAGGTGAATATATCGTGTAGTGCGCCAGGACGAGAGAAACGGAACGAAACGAAACGAGACGAATCGAAACGAAACGAGTCGAATCGAGTCGAAACGAGACGAGACTCAACAGAACTCAATAACAGGACCTTTTTGGGGGCAAACTGGCGCGAGGACGTCGCCGCGGCGAACAGAACCACGCTGGCCGTTGACCGAGTGGCAACGCAGCCCGGAGAATCGAATCGGCTTGGAGAATTGGTGGAGAAGTCACTGAGACAAAAGAGAGTGTGGGCATCGGAATCGGAACTGAAATCGAAATCGGAGAAACTGAGATTTTGGCAGCTGTTGCATGCTGTGGCAGACTCAGTGACGCCGCGAGTGCCGTCGCCGCGTCTTGTTTTTGTTGTTTGTTTGTTTGGTGACCCCGACTCCGCGTCCCGATCCTCGCGAGTGTGTGAAGAAGACAGAGCTATAGAAACAGATCATAAAAACAGTGAATCAAAAGGAGATTGAGATAGTGGGACTCGAGGAGCAAGAGGTATTTCGCATTCGAGCCAATGTACGTAAGCGCCGCTGTGATCCCATAAGCTTCGAATATTCCCCATTTATAATTGAAACCCAAAACTATAGAAATCATTTAATTACCGATTTAACCGACATATATGTAGTTGTTATGAAGAAATGTGAAAATGTTTCAGGAAGATCAAGTCCATTTAAAATATATTTTATTTATTTTGTCCGCAACTGAAGAAACATGCTCTATCTTTAAGGCTTTATTGACTATATAATTATTTTCATAGCACGATTTATTTTCTTGTTAGGAAAAACAGACTTTAAAAAAATTCAATAGGGCACGAAAACAGAAGTGAAAGAACAAGTGAAAAGCGGTTAAAAAAATATATGATTTTTTATTTACATTAACACTCACATGAGAATATTTTCATGAACTCTTTTTAGATATTTTTACAACGGTCTTGTTAATTTTTTGAGCTTAGAAATTTTTTCATTTAAAACTGTAGCCTTAATAAATAATTTTAAATAATGTGGAGTGAATTGAGTTTTAGAACGTAATCAGTGGAGTTTAAATAATTTGGAGTGAGGTGATTTAATTCCACAAGAATGTGATGTGGTATTTTATAATTTTTCGGGGTCATTATTAGATGCAGTTGTTCCTAAAATGTTTTAGTAGTTTCTCATATATAGTGCATGTGTCTCCAGAGATCTTTCCTATGTCTGCCAGATTAGTAAATGTGAATGGGGAATATGAGAAGCTTACCGGGTGCCGATAGTCGCCAGCCTCGACTATATAGTTCTACCTTCTTCGATCCAGGGTCAGAGCGACAGGGACAGCGATGGGCCTGCTCCTGCCCCTCATCCTGGCACTGGCCATCGGATCCTCGGCCGTCGCCGCCGGCATCTCGGCCAACGATCCCTGCTACTTCGAGGGCAAGCCGCGCAAGTGCCTGCCGAGCTTTGTAAACGCCGCCTACGGGAATCCGGTGCAGGCGTCTAGCGTCTGTGGCGCCCAACAGCCGGAGCGGTACTGCGAGCTGCTGCGCGATGGGAACGCCGGCGAGTGCCGGCCGTGCGAACAGCAGCGGTACGGGCCGGCGGCCCTCACCGATCTGAATAATCCGAGCAATGTGACCTGCTGGCGCTCGGGGGCGGTGAATGTGCCCCACGATCCGGACACCGCGCCGCCGGACAACGTCACTTTGACCCTCTCGCTGGGCAAGAAGTACGAGCTGACCTACATATCGCTCTCCTTCTGCCCCAAATCGCCGCGCCCCGACTCGCTGGCCATCTTCAAGAGCTCGGACTTCGGCCAGACCTGGCAGCCCTTCCAGTTCTACAGCTCGCAGTGCCAGAAGTTCTACGGGCGACCGGACCGGGCCAAGATCTCCAAGTTCAACGAGCAGGAGGCACGCTGCATCAACTCGCAGCACGACACGGGCGGAGCGGCCCAGCGGTTCGCGTTCAACACGCTGGAGGGACGGCCGTCGGCCAACGACCTTGACTCCTCGCTGGTCCTGCAGGACTGGGTGACGGCCACGGACATCCGGGTGGTGTTCCATCGCCTGGAACTGCCGCCGCAGCTGCTGAAGGTGAAGAATGCGAATGCGTTCAGTGACGAGATGGGCGGCAGTCGGGAGGCGGACGAGGACGATGAGGCGGAACTGGAGCTGGATGGGGAGCAGGACGAGTATGACTACAATCTGCAGGACAACGACAGCGCCGATGGCGGCTACGATGAGTACGAGGAGCCCAAGAAGCATCTGGAGCTGGACGACGATCATCTGCACCTGGACTACGCCAGTGATGGGGAGTCCGTTGTGAAGCGGCAGGGCAAGCACAAGGGCAGTGTCTACGAGAAGCACTACCAGGGCAAGTTGGCGGCCACCACGCCACCGCCGAAGGTCATGCCCCCGGGCAAGACCACGCCCCCCACCACAGTGGCCCCCGCCGCCCCCGCCACCCTGCCCGTTTCCCAGCACTATGCCGTCTCGGACTTTGCCGTCGGCGGGCGTTGCAAGTGCAACGGCCATGCCTCCGAGTGTGTGGCCACCATTAGCTCGGGATCGGGATCGGGATCCGCATCGGGACTCTCTGAGCCGGATCAGGATGGCCAAGACGAGGACACGCCCGCCGCCCCCTCGCTGGCGGCCCACTTCGGACGCAGCTCCTCGCAGATGAGCGCCAAACTGACCATGACCTGCGCCTGCAAGCACAATACCGCCGGACCCGAGTGCGAACGCTGCAAGCCCTTCTACTTCGACCGCCCGTGGGGCAGGGCCACCGACAACGATGCCAACGAGTGCAAGAGTGAGTACCTTTCCCCAATCCGATACCCTTTCTTAGTTTTAATAGCCAGAGGAAGTCCTGCAAATACGATTCAATGTTGGTCTGGTTTATACAATTTAATTTCCATCTTTGGGAAATCTCCTTACAAAATCCATTATAGTTAATAGTTTGCTCCCCTCTAGTTTCCTCATTATGGGAACTCTGAAATACTTGGTCCTGTTTTAAGGATTTTATTTAAAGTCTAACATTTTGATTTTTTTTTGAAGGTATCTCAGTTTATAAAACTAAATATAATAAATATAAATATAATAATAAAATAAAAATAATATATATATATAAAATATAAATGTACATATATTTACCTTATTGAGGAACACACCAAAATGTCAAAGAACTGCTTTTAAAACCACAAGCTATGCTCATGTTATGTCATTTAAAACAAGAAAACAAAACCAGTGTTACTTATCTAACTGTAATTAGTAATGCCTCCTGATAAGTTATAAATACCAAAGTAGTGTTTGTGGTATGAAGCATAAAATCATTTTTCCTACTTAAATGCCATAAAGCAATGAATGAACCAATAGTCAGGGTAAAATTTGGGATCTGAAGAGCAGTTTACAGGGAACCGAAAAACCTCAAATTATCGAATACGCCTTATCTATCTTACAATTTATAGCTAAAATTGAAATCGGTTTCAGCTGGAGAAAAATATAAAAGATAGTGTAATCTGAAATTTAATGTTTAGTTCCGTTAAAAATTAAGAAATTAGAAAGAAAAAGAAGACAATGTGTCTCAAATCGAATTATTTCAAAAATCCGAGAAAATTGCATTATTCTTGTTAAATTCATTTTTAAATAGTCAGTATTGTACGCAACAATGCTTCTTTTTGAATATACAAAAGCTAAAATATCGTACTCGTGTACTAATCAGAATGCTTTTAGCGTTGGCCCCATTCAGGAGAAAAATCAAATTAGATTAAGGTCTTCTTTTATAAATGTGGCACGTATGTATCTACTTTGTACCTTAAGTGAATTCATGATAAAGCGAGTGTGGCGTCAGTAGCAACTATTCTTTCATTGAACCCGAATCGTGAAGCCCCTCTTCCTTTCGACGACCCTGCTCCACTGCCATTGATCTTTGGAGCTGCCCTCGGTCAAGAGCTGAGGTCTTTTCATGGTCACTCACACTGGACGACAGTGCAATTGAGTGCATTTATGGGACGGCGGAAAAGTTGAGGAGGGGATTGGGGGGGAGGGTTAGGTACTGCAATTCAAGTGGCGTTTTCAATTGCAAGCATTGTGTGATTGTGAGATTGTGCCCTCCCTCATCCTGTCGTCACTTCAGCCCGCTCGCATTGAGTACTTTAGATTCGCACTGGCAATCGCCATCGATGCCATCGCTTCGAATTGCCATCCGCATTCTACTCTTTGCATTTTTGGTGTTTTATTCGAGACTTGGAATGGCGCAGTTGAATGCCTCGGCTCGAGACGATTGTCTGCACCGAGAATATGACCCAGTACATATCTGCATTTTCATCTGCATGTTTCTGCCATCAAAGTCAACGGGGGAGGGAATGGAGGGCCATTTATGCCATCGACCATCCTCGTCATCATCCTGTTCCATTCTCCATTCACACACTACCTTGGAGCGCCTCACCTTTTGCGGCCACGCCCCCTATCCGCCTCCACAGAGAGCCATAAATTACTAACGATTAACTTTTTGTAGACCATTGACGACGTCAACGTTGTCGTCCTCATCCAGAATTAATCAAAAGCCACCAAGAGGGGGAGCAGCCCAACCCAATTCATGGGTGGAGGTGGAGAGTTGATGGTCAGTGGGGGTCGAAGGTCAGCTTAAAGACTTAACGGAACGTCGCTCGGCACTAATTTATGGCTTATGGCAAAAAGAAAATCCCATGACAATTGCCGATGGAAATGGCCAACGAGAGGAAACAAAAAGGATTAGTTCAAAACAGAGAAAAAAGAAAAAATTACCGGGTATTAGCAATCTACTAGTAACTATACTCCAGACTACAGTTCATGTTTTGCCATATAAAAGAGGCTACTAAGCAAGCCATTAACATTTTCGAAGAACTTTTGGTAATATACCTAATTAAATAGAAGGAAACTAATCATCATGAGTCGGTAAAATATTTAAATTTTATTCATGTTCGGGTGCCCTTGTCTGGGATATCTGGGTAAAGTCGGTAAATCTCCGTAAACAAAGAGCCCCAGATCCTGGCCAGAATTTCCCTAAACTCTTTAACCCAGGGCCAGCGGCCCTTAATCGACCTTGAAGCTAAACTAAACCGAATAAGCCGAAAGTTGTTCGTCTACTTCCGTGCGTTTCCATCAGCTTTTCCACCCATCAACCCCCCGCGAAACGTTTTTGGGGAAGGCGAAAAATTAATTTTCTATGGCTTAAATTTGAATTAGTCTCCGCCGGAATCCCGAGTCCGGACTTCATTACAAATGCAACGAAATAAACAGCGAGCGGGGGGACAAGGATGGGAAAGATGGAGCGCTCGGAAAGTGATAAAAAATATTTATGTCTGGGCAAAATTCCAGCCGCCGGCTGTCCCTGCCTTGTTCTGTCCTGTCCTGTCCCATTTCCATTCCCATCTGTCTAGCTCCGTTCCTCTCCAGCACTTGCAATCTCCAGCTGACCACTTGGCTACTGGAGAATCAGTCGGCTACAAAAAAGATTTACAATCCCAAACGATACGGCAACAAACAGCGAGAAAACAATTAAACAAGAACGCTGTTTTTTTTGAACACCGAATCCCTGAATTTCACTTACTTGATTCCTTCGAATTTTATTTAAGTAGCTTGATCAAATATTGTGGAAGGTGTATAGTTCGAAAAGATGTCTTTTAAGTGTGGATGGATTTTAAAAATATAAACATATTTAATTCATATACACATATATATATATATATTATCACATAGTAGTTCTCATTTGACCAATAATTAAGTAATAAGGTACAAATTCATCTGGAAATACATGCATGAGGTAAACTCAAAGTACCGTTTTCCAAGGGAATTAAATCGGGCAACTAAAAAAAGATTTAAGCGGAAAGCGTAAATATTGCAAAAGGAACTCGAAACATTTTGCCTTTGCTACCTGGTGCCGTGTGGCTTATCTCGCGGTTTTGCCACCACTCCACTTTGTCCACCCACAATTCCTCATTCCGAATTGCTTTATTCGCTGGCGATTTGTTTCGATTCCGTTTGCCTAAAAATTGCTCCCATTTTCCTGGTCCTCCCGTGATAGAAGCATTGCACAGTGGTTTCAAAAAGAGTTGACAACTATAGTTAAAAAAAAAATCTTTTTAACCCCATTTTGCTTTTCTAATTAAGTTGCGGAAGCATATTGCACAACTTATTACAAATTAACATACATGATATATAGAGATAAACTATATCTGAAACATAAGTAATATTCACAAAGATATGTAGACTGGTGAAGAGTAATTTACTTGGATATATTTTATTATTAGTATTAGGCACAGTGCCAGTCAGTTAAGTATATTTCTCGAATTCCCGAAATGAACAAATTATATCCGAAATTAACCTGAATACTTTGTATCCATAAACGGGCTGTGTTTGACCCACTGTGGGTCAAATCGCCTCATTGGCTCCCCGCTCCCCGCTCGCGAGTCTCTGGGGTCGAGTGAGGCGCATCTAATGCGAGACATCTGTTAATTTTTTGGCAGGCTGCAATCGCAGGGAACAAGGCAACAAGCCAAGGGGCATGTGCCTCACCGATGTTTGTCCCCTGCCCATTTCATTGAACCAAACTGAACTGAACTGAACTGAACCGGACTGGACGTTCTCCCTCATTGAGATGCCGCTTTGTTTATTACATTTATTTGTGTGTGATTTTCATATGTTTACTATTCCCCCTCGGGGGTGAGTCCTTCGCAGTCCTGCTGGCGAGGGTGGCCCTGCGCCTTTTCCGAGGGCTGTTCGCAGTGTTCCGGGCGCGACTAATTCGCTGCGTTTACATTTGCAAATTCCTCCTGGTAATCCCGGCAGCTGTGCGCATTTAACGTGCCGTCCGGGGAGAGGTGTAAACGGAGCTACGAAATCCCCGGAACCCACAACTGACTTGCAACAAATTGCCCAGCTTAAGTTGCAGGAGCATTGGTGCACTCAAAAGAAAAACATTGACTGCAATTTTTGCCACCTAGATTGATTTTCAAATAATCAATCCAGGTGGCAAAAAGTGTTATGTTTGTATTTTAATAAATAAATCATTTTAAAACATTCTTAAAATTAGTTGATGTATTTGTACAACTATCTATTGTTCTTCCAATTCAATAAGATTGTTTTTATTACTTGAGAATATAAAGTACAGTATTGAAAATGAGAACAAATCCATTTGTCTTATTTAATATGGATTAAGTGAAAATCTTAAGTTCCTATCGAAAAATGTTTGTTCTGCTCAGTTCTTACCTAAAGTAACTAGACTAAATTCTTTTTCCATTTTCTTAAATAATTCAGAGCAATTTCAAATGAAAAGAGCATTTTTTAAGGGGTAGCCTTCAATTTCACTAGATTTCAATGCTGGATTACCCAGAGTTCGTTTTGACTTTAATGTAGGTAAAATATATATTTTCAACTAAAACCAAGTATCACCATTATTTCGCACAGTGCAGTAGGAACAGTTGCAGAAACAGTAGCAGTAATAGTAAGAGTTACCTTGCGGTTGGCAGTTAAGTTGTTGCACAAATGCAACATCGAGGATTCGGGCCATTCGAGTCCAGGCGGTTAGCAAAATGCAACATTTTATTGCATAACCGCAACACTGTGGCTCTCTGCCACGCCCTCCAACACTCCCCCGCCCCCCATGTGTGGGCGTGTCAATGTGATAAAATGCTGGCAGCTTCCATTTCGCTTGAATTGCTCTTGTTGCAATTGCTTTGCTTTAGTTTGGAGTTGCTTTTTGCCCCCCGATTCCTGTTTCTTTTTTGGCTGCAGGATGCCTTAAAGTATGTGGTGGCAAAAAAATGTTTGTTA